CTAAGGCTAAAATGGGCAACCGAATTAGCGAAAGGACAGGTCAGGCTTATTTGACACAGCTACTAAGATTGGCTAGGTTGTTACCACATTATTTTAGGCATAGACTAGATGAAGCAATGCAGCCTTATGGTTTTTGACTTTTTGCATTCTCTGGTCAATTTTAAAGTAAGAAGGAAAAGAGCTGACTCTGCAAGGAGTTTAAGAAAAAGGAAAAAATTGCAACAACTAACACCAGGGACATTGAATAAGTTATTGGTGAAAGTTAGACACACCAACACTGGAGCGATCTTCTATGTCTGGGTGGCTGAGAGTGACTTAGCATCAAGGGTTAAAAAATCAGAAGATCAGAACTAGAAAGCTGACAGACTGGAGATGAAAGAAATTTCCAGAGTTCTGACTGTTTAGAAGATGCATTTGCAAAGCCCACTGGTTTACCCTCGGCTCGAGCATTTGATCATTCTATTCCTTCGGAAATGGGAACTTCACTAATCAACTTAAGGCCCTACAAGTACCCTCGTTTCCAAAATATGGAGATAGAACAGCAAGTCAAGAAGATACTAGACGATTCAATAATTTAGCCAAGCCATGATCTGTTCACATCTCCTGTACTGTTGGTTAAAAGAAAGATGGCTCGTGGCATTTTTCTATTGATTACAGAAAATTGAACGCCATTACAGCCAAAGTCAAATTTCCTGTTTCCGTGATTGACGACTTGCTTGATGCATCTACTCTAAAATCAATCTAAGGGCCAGCTACCATAAAAAAGATCGACCGGGCAAATTATTGAAGAACTTGACTCTGATGATGAGAAGGAACAAGAAGATAATGATAAAAAGAAAGTCAATCGGCAAAAGACTACCACTTAGACCGAAGAAGCTTGATTCATGCATGTCTCCAAAAAGGTTTCTGAAGGAAGTGTCATCAAATGGATCCCTTCCCCCCAAAAAACTAGACAACAAACTCTGGGATCCCTAGAGCCCCCAATGCCAACAAAGCAACCAATTCCCCCAAAAACAGCAAAAGGGTCATGAAAATAAAAAAATGGATCCCTGCCACCCCTTCTTCTCTGCATTTTCTGGGATCTCTAACCTTTGAAAAAAAAAATGAAGTCCATCTCAACATAAACTTGTGTTAACCATATAAAACAGAATATTACCAAAAACACTAGATATGGATGCGGAAGAAAATATGAATAAGGACAACCAGAAGAATGTGAATATGCATTATGGGCTAACGTGCAACTTATTTATCATACACAGGGAAGTAGCCTACCACTAAGGCAGCAAGATACTGAAAAAGAAACTCTCACATTAGTACCCCTAACATCCGCGCCCTCCAAGTAAAAAACATCATCAAGCATTTTCTATGCATATAAACTGCAAACATAGTTCCCCCATCGCACAGATATTTGCCCTTTTTTTTGAGAGAGAGAGAGACAAAGAGGAAAAATACATACATTTATTTATCTATTGAAGGTTATCACTTCTAAAAGGAAAACACAAAATACCAAAAGAAAAAGATTCAACTACAGCACGCCCAAGGACATGGTATCATAATACTCATTCATAGCATAATTCTGTTAAATACAGTTAAAAGATTATATTTAGTACCATCAGATCAACAGTATCCTGTACGGACTGAGTTAGGGCAAGAGCAAGGTGGCACACAGAAAGAAAATGGGAAAAATACCAGCAAACCACTGTTGGTTTATTGGACGAGAGCTAAGGCTAAATGGGGAAACATATTTGAAACAGCTACTAGTATTTTTATTCTGCCAGCTGGCATTACAATTCTATTAGTTTGTTGTGGATTTCCTTTCTGTTATTGCAATAAGTCATCAGTAGCTAGTGGTAGAATTAGGGATGTAATGGTACAGAATGAATCAATAAAATAGGGATGTACAGCTACAGTACAGATCAATAAAATTTATCGAAAATCTAATGAGAAACCACTGAATCATCAGTACATCTCATCCTAGTCTCTCATTTGTTCTGTCCTTCTGCACCTCTATTCTTCATTTTATCGACCCTATTTTTCTTCCTCTTCACTGACTACTGTGTTGTTTGCACTGAATGCCCCTTTTTGGGAGTATTTTCTCTATTAAATAGAAAAGGATTTTCTGAATACATGCCTCTAATTAAGTTGATTATGCTTAATTTACTAAATCAACTATTTTAGCTCTACCTATGCCTATAAATAAACTAACTATTTACAGCAATAATATTGACAAATAAGGCAACAAATATTACAATTAAATAGATATATAGTCTAGTGACATCCGAATAGTGATAGTGAGGACCACAGGAAAGGCTGCCATGACTGACCACCAATGATTGCAGCAGCTGGAAGAAGCAACGTGCAGTTTTCACCAAAAACCTCAAGGACCTTATGACAGAGGTCTATCAAACCATACAGACAGCCCAGGATAAGGTGAAGCTACTTGGGTTGGACTATACAATCCGATAAAAAACAGGAGCGGACACTAAGTTGGGAAATGCATTATCAATAAGAGAACATAAAGCAATTTCTAGAACTGATTAAGTTGAGCAGGCTGCTGGTGGAGAGATCAATACTGTTATGATAACGGTAGAACCTATTTGGTCATTGGAGGTGGAAAATAGTTACAAAGGGGATTTAAAACTCTCAGCATTGGTCCAATAACTGATGATCAACAAAATATCAAACTTCCTTATCAGTTAACAAGAGAAATCCTGCATTACAAGGGCATAAATCTTAGTAGGAAGACAACCAGAAATGTGGCATAAAATCATTCAAGCTTGTCATGATTCTGTTCTAGGCAGCCATTTGGGAATAAGGGCAACATAAACCAGATAATGAAGCAGCACTTCTTTTGGCCTGGCACAAAGGAGGATGTAGTGGGATATACATGTTGTCGTGACACATGTCAGTGCTGCAAAACAGAAAAGTGCCACTACCTGGATTACTACAGCCTCTACCCTTTTCCGAACAAGTTTGAAAGCATATTCTGATTAACTTTCTTGAGCAACTACCGAGGTCAGCGAATAAGGAAACTTTTTTTGGTGGTGGTTGACAGATTCAGCAAATATGACCACTTCATTGATACCGCCCTCGAGGTAGCTCAAGTCTTTGTGCATAATGTGCACAAATTACACACTCTTAAGATCACAGTAACCAATACTGGCAATATTTACTAGTCTTTTTTGACAAGAGATCATGAAGCTGATGGGGAGCATCCTACATTTGAGCTCTGCTTACCATACAAAAACGGGTGACCAAACAGAAAGAGTAAATCAATGTCAGGAAACTTACTTGAGATGCATGACTCATAGGAACCCAAAACAATGAAGAAAATGGCTTAGTTTGGCTGAAAGGCAGTACACCCACCATCCTAGCCTTGAAATAAGTCCTTTTCACTCTACAGGTTTTCATTCTCCTAATTGTATGGACACCCTAGAGATAGACACACTGTCAACGTAATTGGAGTAATTTATGGGTGAGCGGCAGATGATGAGTAGGTTGTTAAGGCAATAGCTTTAGAGGCCCATAACCCGGTTAAACAGTTTGCTGATAAGAATAGAACCAAGTGAGAGTTTGAAGCAGCCCTATAAGCAGAATTCTGTGGCTCAATGCAAGCATTTGAAGCTAGCTGCCAAATTCTTTGGGCCCTCCACAGTTGAACAGAAAACTGGCCTTGCAGCATACAAACTTAAGTTGCCTGAAAGCTACTCGCATTTACCCGATCTTTCACATGTTAAAACTCAAAAGGAATCATCCAGGTGTCAAAAACAAATCAGCAAAGGAGAATTATAATTGAACCACTTCAGGTGCTGCAAGAGAGGATTTTCAACAAGGAAAGAACTATTAAGTAGGTTTTCGTCCATTGAAAGGGAATGCCCACAGAAGACTCCACCTGAGAAGATAAGACATATCCTACCCATCAACTTCCTGAGTTCTTCCTTGAGGACAAGGAAGTTTCACAAGGGGGGGTGGAGGAGTAAGGACTAACTTAGGGCAAGGTGAAGGTGACGTGCATTAAAAAAAAAAGGAAAATAACAGCAAACGACTATTGATTGACTAAACGAAAGCTAAGGCTGAAATGGCTAACTGAATTGACAGACTGACAGGTTAGGTGTACTTGACACAGCTGGTAGTATTTTCTTTCTGGTTATTGCAATCCTGTTAGTTTGTTGTGGATTTCCTTTCTACTATTGCATTTGGCATTGCAGTTCTGTTAGTTTGTTATGGATTTCCTTTCTATTATTGTACTGAGCCGTCAGCAGCTAGTGATAGAAATAAGGAAATACTAGTATGTATATCAGGAACCATTATCAAAAATCTAATGAGAAATTATTGAATCATCGGTGAATTTCCTCACCCTATGGAAATCTATTATTGTACTGAGCCGTCAGCAGCTAGTGGCAGAAATAAGGATGTACTAGTATGTATATCAGGAACATGTATCAAAAATCTAATGAGAAATTTTCAAATCATCGGTGAATTTCCTCACCCTATTCTCTCATTTCTTCTCTCCTTCTGCATCTCTATTCTTCCTCTATTCTTCATCCTATCGACCCTACTTTCTTCTTCACAACACACAACACACTCGAGTCAGGTTTTATGTCTAAGGCTCCTGACATATCCATGAGAGCACAGCATCCAAATATTCATTCACCAATAGATCTTTTTTGAAATATCATTCACCAATAGATCTGTTAGATACAGTTAAATGATTATATTTAATGCAACTAGCTCCTGTTAATATAGTTGAATGGTTATATTTAATGATTGATGTAAAAAGGAATATGACATCTGAAGTTAAGGGCACAACAGTAAAATCCAGAAAAAAAACCTACTATAACTAATCATATTATAACTTCACAAAGAAGATAAAGCAGTGTAATAAAAGACCGCCACTCAAATCCTACCACGATCAATCACACCAAGATCTCAAAGAAAAAGGGAATAATAATCGCACAGAGATACACAAAGTTATTTCAGATTCTTGAGGAAAAGATTCATTTGAACTTTAGATGAATCAGAAGAAAATTATCTAACATTCACCTATTGATAAAAGGAAAAATCCCCTAATTTGATAAAGAACAACAGGGTAATGCATGAATTTTTTTAACTTCTCTGTCTCTAGAATCTAAATTGGCTATAAAAAATCAGGAATGCTGCCATTATGCTATAGATGTCACTCCAAAAGATAGATAAATCAAGTTCTATAATCTGAAACAAGAAAGTTCAAGTCTTGGGAGCAAGAAAGGAGAACGAAGGGCAGATCCCATATCTCACGTTTCTCATCAACCAATAAAAGCATCAATACAACTGCAATTATTGCAATCTGAAGTAGATGGAATTACATAAGAATATTAAATCAACTAAAACATTAATCCACGTGATATTAAAAATTCTAAAACTGCCCCCTGCAGGATTACATAATCAAGATAGAATCTTGTCTCCACCTTGAAAGAAAAATAAAAATTTGAAGCGAGAATTTCCTAAACATTAAAAAAAAAAGAGAAGATAACTATACGGAAAAAAAAAAAGAACACCGTGAACTACGGGAACTATATACAATTTTCTCGGCTTTTTTTTAAAAAAAATTAAATGATTTAATCATGCAAAGGATTAATAATCACGATATACATCATCATACAAACAGCTCGTTCGAAGACAAACCCTACTTATCAACTTAAAGATCCATGGTTTACAAGCTTAAAAACGATAATCTAGATCTTTCTTCAATTCATTGATCAACGGAAAATCTTGAGGGGGAAAGATGAAATATAGACGCCATCAAACAAAAGCACATAGATAGAGCCAATTCATCGATCAACGGAAAATCTTGAGGGGAAAAAATGAAAAATAGACGTCATCAAACAAAGCACATAGATAGAGCCAATTCATCGATCAAAGGAAAATCTTGAGGGGAAGAAAATGAAAAATAGACGTCATCAAACAAAAGCACATAGATAGAACCAATTCATCGATCAACGGAAAATCTTGAGGGAAAAAAATAAAAAATAGACGTCATCAAACAAAAGCACATAGATAGAGCGAGAGATAGCACCTCTGAAATTTGATAAAACTGAATGATCTGAAAAGATCACAAACCCTTACTGCAACCCGCAAAAGAGCTCTCTAATTTGAACGCGGAGTTAAAAGAAAGAGAAAAAGAAGAGCATGAAAGGCTCATTATGGGGATTTCAGAAGTATATAAAGGACGCCATGGAAACGTGGCCCAACCACTTTCTCACACGTGTCACCACATCACTGGGTCTTTTTTGTAACAGTTTCGGAAACGTCAGTTCATTTTCATTGTCTTAAACAAGAAGTCCGTTTGTTATAACTTGTAATTAACCGTCTAGTCGGTTGATTGAATCATCTAGACATAGTTTCCTCTTTATTCTGGCAAATTAGTTTCTCTATAAAACTTTTAAAATTTTAATAATAAAACATCCCATAAATTATTCATAATAATTTTTTAGGCTAAATTATTTATAACAGTTTAATATAATATCCTATATAATAATTTAATATTATATTAAGAACACAAAATTTGTCCTTTAATTTTGCACTTAAAACATACATTTTATTATTATATTTATGTAATTATAAACATAATAATAAAATGAAGGGAACGCAATTAATTAATATTTTATAATAGACATAATTGTAATTATATTCGTTATATTATATAAATATAATAAACGGTAATATTAAATTATTATTTAAATTTAATAAAAATATTATTTTAAATAAAAAAATTAAATGAATATAATAAATAAAATATTATCTGACCCCATGATTTCATGTCATATATTTATGTAACATTTTATGATAATTATTAATTTTATTTACTATAAAACATTAATGATGCATTCCTGTTATATTAATAATTTATTATGCAATTAATCATATCCTCTTTAAGCTATATCTATGAATTGCATGAAATTAGACTTCCATTAATCTATTTACACTAACATAATATACCTTTTCTTTTATTTTGTGATGATAAGGCTTTAATAAATTCTCTTGTTGGGCTCTTTCTCAGAAATATATATATATATATATATATTTTGCTAGAGTAATAAAAGCATATATAGATGTTATATAGAAAAATATTTTTATGAGATAAATAGAAATTCAGAACACAAAAAAAAAAAAAAAAAAAATTATTAATTGTATTTATTTTTTCAAAAGGAGATTGCTTCCTCAAAAAGTAACATTCTATTAGCTGTAAAATTAATTCAAATTTAATTAATTGATTACTGTAAAATGTAAATTTTAAATACTTATTTAACTTCAGGTTGTGCAGCTAATTTAGATTTATTTAATTGATACCTTTGTATTAACATTACTTTCAAAGTGTACTTTGAATTTAATGAATTGAAAAGTTATAACTAACAGTAATTTAGTTTACAAAGTAATTAGTTCATATTATTTATCAAATTCTAAGTTCACAAACAATTTCAGTATATTTAAACCTCATTAATACATTAAATTTCTAAATTTTGTTCTAAAAAAATCCCTAATGCTCCTCATTTAATCAAGGATTCACATGCATTAAATATGAAACTCCTGAATTTGGACAAACAGTAATCCAATACTAATTTCTCTATCTGTGGTTACAACTGCTGGAATGGATCCAACTCTGGTCTCGTTGGATATTCCAACCCCTGAAGCACAGACATGTGCTTCAAATCATCTTCTGAGTATGCAGGGATGAACCAGTATCTCTTATCTATCCCCAACACCTGATTACCACCAAATAATAATAACCTATCATTAAATTTTCATTGTCCATGGAGGATTACTAAACAAAGTAACTGCATATATGGGAACTAACAAATTCTACATATATTATGATGAAAAGGGAAATATAGTCTTCGATATCCATAGTTGAATACGCAAAAAGATCCGGCATCAGTTAATGTATATGGATAGTTTATTGTAGTAGCATGGTACATGATAATTCATGTACCATTTTTTGCATGACCTGAGGTTAAGTTTCCCTGAATGTATAGTTGTTGGATCAGGATTCAAGAGGGTCTAAGCATGTGCGGCGTACAAATTGAAAGAATGAACTTCATTTTACTAGGAGCAACTGCAGCCCGGCCGGCCATCTCATCATCTCAACCCAGTTTCATACTAAAAGCTTTCATGCAGGTTAATTAAAGAAATACGATTCATTTCCTAAGTTGGTTGGAATTTCACCAAAGGACATGATCAACAAATATCCCTTGTTAAAGTCAAAACTGAAAGTAGGAAGTCTTAATAAACTTAATCATGCTGGAAAAGCAATTTGAAGATCAGCAAAAAAAATCACCTAGATATCAGGTTTAGGACCTCAAGTTGACCAAACAATACCAACATGATCTTTGGCAAAGCCAAACCTGGTTTTCAAAAAAGTGAATGTGTTTCTAAATCATGACCTCCTCCACGCCAAATGGCAGAGATGTGTTTTAACTCTTTATTGCTTTTTGTTCTATGAAATTTTAGTTTGCATGGCAAGGAAAACTGTAACAGAAATTACTTATCTCAAATCACCCAGAAATAATACAGCAGAAGATATTAAAGAGGGAATGGAGGAAATAACCTGCTCAAAATTTTTCTTCCTACCAATGTCATAACGCCATTTAGGAGTTGTTTTCTTTTCATATGTCTGAAAACAAGAAAAATCAGCAATAAAAAAAACTGTTGGAGAAGCATCAAGAGGAACAGTAAATAGCAAAAGACAATTACCTCAATAGTTGTTGTGTTGGCTGCCACCAATACCATATGCATAATCAGAAATCCCAAAACACTCAACGCAAATGCTAAGTTCAAAACTGAACTAGATCAGCAGAACAAAGTTATGAGTTTAAAAATAGTAGGAAGAAAAAAGACCAGATTCAGAATGTAGATATAAAAATGTGTACGCATGCAGATACATATTTCTACAACTTACCAAAAGTTATAAAAGTGGTTATAAGGGCCCCTATACTTCCAGTTATCTCGCCATCAGAGAAAAAAGGAGCAAAAACGGGCAGTAGAGATAAAGTGACGAGAGTTGTCTCTAGAAATGTGTAAAACTGCATGGAAGTTGAGAAGCAAAATTACTCAGTTCTTCTCTTACAAAAGATCCAACAACCCAGCCATGTCATTCACTTTTATTCAGTTTTAATGAGGTTAAGAAATAGATGCAATTGTTAGAAAACATGCAACCAAAATGATAATTATTTTAGTAGTTCAATCTACCTGGAGAAACATAAGAATCACAAGGAAAGAAGAAGCTCTGCCTAGGGGCATATAAGTTTCTAGATAAAGCACATAGATAATAATCATTAGATATGGAAGGTGAGTGACATAATTATTTCAACCAATTCATAGAATATGGTCATATTAATAGTACTGTAATGGGAAGTACTTGCAAAGAAATTGATGAAGAATAAAATATTCGGCACATTTATGATATGATTTGGTCTTTTAGTGCAGAGAATCTATTCCTTCTAACTGGTCAAGTAGTACGGGTTTCAAACATGTGCTAACAGCATAAGGTAGGCTAAATAGTCTAGAACTTCCTGAATTTTATGTCCGCTTCTCTTTTCATTTATGATTGCTAAATAGGAAATTCCATCCAAGTTAGGTAAAGAATCTAATCAACAAAAAGCTCCACCTTAAAAGGTGTATCTTCTCTATAGTTAATCAGAATGAATCTCCTTGGTCACATTATCTACAACTCCAGTGCTTTAATTGTATCAGCCAATCCTCATAAAACTAGCTTCATTTTCATGTAATGACAAATACATCAGGCAAAGGACAGCAATACCTCAACTATGAAGGAAGAATTCACAGCTCCTAGTCAAATGCATTGCCCAAAGATGAAATTTATCATATCCAAGGTTCAGAATTTAAATAATAAACAATGAAACCCTCAAGGGCCTAGGTTTAAAATGAATGCTTAATGATGAGAAACACCATTAGGAACAAATTATTCTAGTAATAAACCATGAAAACCCTCCAATGAAATAATAAAAAACTACCTAAGGTTCAGATTTTAGAAATAAACATTGAAAACTCTCCTCAATGAAGGTTAAAAATGAATCCGTAATGATGAAATACACCACTGTAAACAAACTATTCCAGTGATGAACAATGAAAATTCCCCAGTTACATAACAACAAATAGTCCAAGTTAAATAATAAACAATGAAAACTCTCAACAGCTTAGGTTTAGAATTAATGCTTAATGATGAGAAACAACACCACTAACAAACTAATCAAGTGAAAATAAACAACGCACTAGTAAAAGATTTTGATTATTTCCTGTAATCTTAACCTTCTAGAACAATAGTTGCTTAACCAATTAACACCATATGGTATCAGACCATGTGGCCGTCAATTTAATCTCTAGGTGCTCA